GGCTATTTTTTGGTTGCAGCCGTCATTGTTGTTTGGCGGGTCCGGGCTGGGGATTCAAACCCGCCACCTTAGGTGTATGTGGCTGGTGCCTTAGCCGGTTGAGCTATAGGCGCCGAGCCCACCTCGACAGTTTTAAAGGCTACTGGTCAGGTTTGTTTGTTTGGAGACAGAGTCTCATTTTTGTTACCCTCGGTAGAGTACCATGGCGTCACACAGCTCACAGCAACCTCTAACTCCTGGGCTTAGGTGATTCTCTTGCCTCAGTCTCCTGAGTAGCTGGGACTACAGGTGCCTGCCACAATGCCCAGCTATTTTTTTTGTTGCAGTTTGACTGGGGCCGGGTTTTAACCCGCCACCTTCAGTATATGGGGCTGGCGCCCTACCCACTGAGCCACAGGTGCCACCCTGGTCAGGTATTTTTATAGAACATCCTTCAACTTACATTTTGCTAATGTCTTCTCTTAGTTAGATGAGGGTTGTGTTTTGGGGAGGAAGACCACACAGGTAAACACCATTTAAGTTATATTACGTTACAACTCCTGGCTTCAAGTGATCTTCCCACCTCAGCCTCCTAAAGTTCTAGAATTACAGGTGTGAAAATGTTATTTATTTTGCCCCCCAGGCCAATTTACTTCGTTCCTCAAATTATTTTCAGCTTCAGCCACTGGGCGCTCTCTCTGTTGGCTCCTGTATCCCTTGGACATAATACCATCAGTGGAAAGTTCTGGGTTTTGTGTTTGTTTGTAAAGCAGCCCTTCACTTTCAGCCACTACAGATGCTCCAGGTTCATCCATTTCCTGCGCAGCCACAGAATAATCTTAGTACAGTACTATTTCCAAAAGTTTGAAAGTTTTTTGCAAGTCTACATTGATTTCAAAATTTAAAATATTTGGATTACTGCTCTTTTTAGGAAAGTTACCTGACACCTATTAAAATCTTGGAATGTAGGCTACAAATACAAAATCACAAGCACAGTAAGGATGGATCCTGAAGGTTTATTACTGCACTGTTGGTTGTAGCAAAAGAATGCAACCAAGTAAATTCCCATCAACAGGGCGCAGCTGAAACAGCTGAGGGACATCATCCCAAGGAACCCTGGGAAGCACCTGAAAAGCGTGAGCTCCCCAAATGCAGAGTGACTAAAAGAGAACCCTTTAATCACCCAACCACCACATCCTATTAATGTATGTATGCTGGCAGGTGAGTGGGTATGGGATGGCAGGACAGACCCCAGGGGCTTAGTATTAACTAGAACTAGGAAATGGTGAGGCAGGGGCTGGGGATGGAGAGAAGCACCTATGTATGACACAGTGCCCACCTGCACAGAGAGGTAAAGTGAGTCCCAAAACAAACACTAAAGGCCCTGGACTCTGGAATGATTTTTACTTACCTCCTTATACTCTTCTGCTGTGTTTCTTTAAATGGCACAGTATTCACACAAACTTGTGAAATTGTTAAAATGCATATTGCAAAAGTGATTATTCAACTCAAAATTTAAGTGATAAAATTTTATTAAATCTTTTTAACTTCTAACTGCCTCTTTGGGAAAACTTCAGAAATAAGCACCAGTACATTTAAGGATATACGTTTAACTAAGGGGAGCAGCTGATAAAACCATGAGGCTCCAACTCTATGGAATAAGAGACACCCAGACAGCCACTGCTAAAAGAATGAGGTAGCCAGGAATGTGCCCACCCTGGGAGATCTTCGTCACAGTGAGAAGAAACTTAACACTGGACCCACCCAGGGGGCTGGGACTAGAGGGAAGAAAAAAAGGTTTTTTCTTCAAAGGCCTCTCTTTTTGTCTTATGACCACTGGGGCAGACTTTTGTAATTAAATTAGCAACAGTCCGTATGAAGTTAGAAAGAAACAAAACAGTAACAAAAACATAAGAAGTCTTATCCTTGGCTGTGACTTTTCTAAGTTGAATCTCACTTTTCTGCTAAACTCACTTAAAATCCCAGATTCAATGGATGTGAAGCCCTAACATCTAGCAAAATCTGAAATTAAATTCATCTGTGCCAGGCCCTGTTCATTGGGCGCAGCAGGGTACGGCCCTGGTGCCTGTAGGTGAAGACAAGGAGGCCTGGCCAGCATAACTGTCTCATAAGCTGCAAGGGCCCAGGACATAGCCAGGGCAAAGGGAACTGCTATCAAAGGGTCAATTCTCAAAACTGCAAGCAGGCTCAGTGCACCCATCTGATGGCACCAGAAACACTACCAATACAGTGAAGACTAGGTCCTGGAATTTGGGAGCCTCAAGGCTTCTCGGTTATACCATCAACAGGGAGAAAGGGGATGTGGTGGGCAATGCCCCACTCTAGGGCTTGGTGGCATGGGAAATGAACCATTCCCTCACACTGAGCTCCAGGACTCAGCCACACCACACACACCCTCCTTGTTCTAGCCACCCAGTGAAAGGTATCCTTTTCACTCCACCTCTTTTACCCTAAGCAGCAGGAAGGCGAAGAAAGGCCTCTATCCACTGTACTTGCCCCCAGGTGCCAGGAGCCTCACCAGCCTCCTCCATCCCACAGCTGCCCCCACTCTGATACTCCCCCCTGCAGCCTGGATTCATGCACACACCCACCCCCACCTGCCCAAGTTGTGAGCTCATTCCCACCTCACACTCCTGCTCAGCACCCACTGTGTCCCCACCTCCTGTCTCACCAGGGCCCTCTGAAGGGAGCAACAGGAGCAGGAAGAAGCTGGTGACTGGGAGCCAGACTCCATAACCAAGGCAAGACCTAGGGTCACGGGCCAGCACAAGTGCAGGCTGGGCCCTGGTCTCAAAAGAGCATCTTTATTGCTTGTACCGTACAAATACGAGGGACAAGGAAAGAAGATGGGGGAGAATTGTCAGATAAACATACACACACAGAAAGGAAAAAAGACCCCCACACACACCAATCCCACTCCACCCCGAGATGCCTTTCTATGAACCGGCTAGTATAGGAGGTGGGGTGGGGAGATCAAAACCACAGAAAACTAAATTCCAGATCAAAACACCCAGAGATGTGGGGGGGGGGTAAAGGAGGGGAGGGTAGCAAGGGGCTCCCGGGGCTGGGGGGGGGGGTTCCTCCCACTAGGTCAGCACCTCTACCCTCATGGGATAAAATGCTCGGGCAAAGGATGGGGGCCCGAGCCCACACACACACACACACACACATATCCAATGCACATACACACACCCCTAGGGCCTGTGTCCCACTGACACACAGTCCGAGGCACATACACAGTCCGAGTACCCACAGCACTAACACGGACTTGCGCTCATGTTCACCTTAAGGCTGCAGAATGTGGGGGCCTGAAGGGAGGAGGGGGTGAGGTGGCCTAGGAGCCTCCTTTCTTAGAGGCCCTCACCCAATATGTACCAGAGATGCCCACCCCCACCGCAGTCCATGGGGTCCAATACTGTCTCGGTGCAAGATGTGTAACAGCCAGGGCTGGTGCCCCTCTGCCCCTAGGCAGAGAGAAGGGGATGGGGGATGATCCCAGCCCACATGCTCCAATGGGGCTGGGCCAGGCACAGGGTCCAGCGGGAGATAAGTCCAGCTGGAAGGAAGCCCTGGTAAGGCACGGGGCTGAAGGCTGGGCAGGCTAGCCTCTCTCCTGCCTCATCCACAGGGTCAGGAGAGCAGCTTGGGGGTAGGGGGAGCAATGCCAGCCCCTCCCCCCCTTCCTGGTTCCACATGATGCAGATCCAAGGAACTGGCTCCATTTACAAGGGAGCACAACCCCCTGACCCCATGGCTTCCAAGGCCCCCTGCCTGTCCCTGGACATTATTGCTTTTCTGCCCCCAAGGAGGGGTGAGGGGGTTAGACCGCCCCAAGCCAGGCTACTGTGAGCCTAGACAGGGCACAGAAGGCAGCACCACTGTCCACTGGGTGTCCAATAGCATCCCGCCAGGAGGCAGCCTTCATCAGGAAGCAGGAGCGTGTAGGCAGGCTGCCTGCATGGCTGGTCCCACGGCTCCACACTTCATGCTTCACCCCTCCCTGGGGCTTGTGTTGATTAAAAACCTGAATCTCTCCATCCACCCAACAGCCCGGTCCTGTGGCAGGAGGTGGAGAGTCTCCCAAATACTAATCTGGGCACAAAGGTGAGGCTGGAGGCAAGGGCTGCTGGGACTGCTGAGGTGAGTTTGGAAGAGGACAAGAAAAACTGAAAATGGGGGAGAGGCGGCAAGAGATGGGGACACAAACCAATAAGGCAAAATTAAACATTAAAAAAAAAAAAGCCACCCAGGCAGTGGATGGCAGCCGTGCGTGCGTCCTATGGCGGCGGGCAGGCTGCTCACTCACGGATGCTGGCCGAGTAGGAGAACTGGGGGAAGTGGGTCCGCTGGTCCAGCTCTAGTGAGCCCAGGCTGTCATCTGCGGGTCGGTGGAGGTGGATTGGGAAGGACTGGCCTGCAGAGAGCCTGGGCCCTCCACCCAGTAACCAGTCATGGGAAGAACTGCAGTGGGACCTCAGTGTGAAGAAGGCCATGGCCCATTCCTCACCCCTGAGCCCTGGGCGGCCCTGTCTGGGAAACTGCCTGCACTCTTGCTCATCAGCCCACAGCTCAGTCACTTGGCCCAAATGTCTCCCATCTCTCCTTCCCTTGCCCACATCACCACACAGCCTAGACTGAACCCCTCCAGCCCAGTCCCTGCCTGGCCTCCACCCTCATACCCTCTCCAACGCAGCCAGGGGGACTTCCTAAAGTCCTGATACAACCTTGTCCCTCTCTGCACAAAACCCTTCTGTGGCACCCCATGCAAAAAGTCCTCCCAGCCCCCCCAACCCCTCCCACTCTATCCGCAGGCTCTCTTTCCTTTTCTTGCTCCCATTTCCCCTGACTGCTGTCCGTTCCCTGACCATGCAATGCTCCCTCCCATTTCTAGCATTCCATATGCCAATCCTGCTAGGAAGGCAGTTCAGTTGACATGTTTGTTTCCTCTTCTGGGAAGCCCTCCCTGCAGCTAGGTCAGACATTTCCTCTGGGCTTCCCCAGTCCCTGGGTTCCTACATCCCAGCCCTGACTGCTCTGGGCTGTCTGGGCGCTCCCAAGGGCAGGGCCCAGGGCTGGCTCATAGCTGTGTCTCCAGCACAGCACAGCCTTGGGCTAGATTCAGAGTAAGAACTCAACAGTTGTAAAGTTAACGAACCAATCCATCCCCAAGGACCCAGGGTGTCTCATGCTCAGAGCTTGGGGACACTGTAGCCAATGGCTCCTGGTGAGCCTCATGAGGTCCAAAGAGGACCCAGAGCAAAAAACCCTGCAAGTGGATCCTAGGGAAAACTGCCCAGACACAGAGGATGGCCTTCAAGGGTCCAGCTAGAGAACTGCCGTGGTCAAGGGCCGACCCCACCCCTTTACCACCCAGCTACTCCCACCAGGCAAGGGGAGTCCCAGGCACTCACAGCGGTCTGGGGGTGTGATTGTGATGGACTGGGCGGTGAATTCATCATCGAAGTACCTTGTGTCTACCTCAGATGTGACCTGAGGTTTGAAGGGTGGCAGGAGCTACGGAGGAGAGGAGCTCAGACTCAGGGACCCTAAAGACAGGAGGCCTTAACCAAGGTCACCCACCAGGAGGCCAGGAAGCAGGAAAAGGGCTCACCTTCTTCTGTACCACGTCCTGCCAGTTGATGCTGAGGAAGAACCTGTGCTCCATGACCTCCGTGGCATCGCTGGGCCCCCCACCAAGCCTGGGCAGAGACGGCCATCAGCACCTACCTCCCAGAGTAGCCAGGTTCTGGGGGACAGGCTTTTGGTGCAGACAGTTGTGAGCCTGTGACATGTAGGCCCTGCCCAGCCTTTAATGATTCTTTCTTGGTCACGAACCACCACATCTCAGAGGAGGAAACTGAGGCTTAAGAAGGGGAGCCCCTGTGCCCAAGACCACAGCCAGGGAGAATGCGACCATGACTCATGGGGGCTCACAGCCTGCCCTCACCCAGGACCAGAACGGGGGTGAAGGGGGCAGGTTGGCAGTATGCCCATTCATAACGTGGCTCTGCCACGTGCCAGGCAAAAGGCTGCCCTGTTCCTCAGTGTCCCCCAAAATAAGGCAGTGCAGGGAGAGTGCCAAGGATGGGTCTAGGCCCAAAGGAGTGCTAAGTGCCAGCTGTGGGTGCTTTCATGGGACACACACACACTGTGAACCCACAGGCGAGTGCACCTGTAGAGGCTGACCACTTCAGGCTGAGGGACAGTGGCAGCAGGTGGCACAGGGCTTGGCAGGGCAGCCACCAGCCCTCACCTCTGCTTGGGGTCCTTCTTAAGCAGCCCAGCAAGCAGAGACTTGGCCTCAGGACTGAGAGTGCGTGGGAAGCGGATCTCCTCCATAAGGATGAGCTCAAAGAGGCGCTCGTGGTCCTGGTTGTAGAAGGGCAGGCGGCCGCACATCATCTCGTACATGACCACACCCAGCCCCCACCAGTCCACTGCCCGGCCGTAGTCATTGTCCTCCAGCACCTGAGGAGGGAGGGCAGTGAGGAGTCAGGCACATGACCCTGAAGCTAGGAAGGGGGATACAGGGAATCAGAGTCCAGGGAGGGGTCAGAGGGTCCCCTCTACCCATAGCCCAGACACCTCAGGTGCCAGGTACTCCGGGGTCCCACAGAAGGTTTTCATGGTGGCCCCATCACTGATGCCCTCTTTGCACAGGCCAAAGTCAGTGATCTTGATGTGGCCATCTTTGTCCAGCATGAGGTTTTCCAGCTGTTGGGAAAGTCAACAGATCAGGGGCAAACACTCCCATGGCTTCCTGCTGCCCCAGTTCCTCCCTTGAGGAAGCTGTGGCCTCGGGTGGCAGCAGTCACACCAGGGGTTCTAGGACATCAACTCTCCCATACCAGGCTGGGCCACAGCACACACAGGGCAACGCTAAGGCCTCACCCTCTGAGGCCCATAGGGAGCTAGACCCTACACCTCCCTGGCCCCCAGCCACTCCCAAGGTAGACAGAAAACAGCCAGGCAGGGGTAGATGGGGCCAGGCCCTGCCCCACCTGCACTCTCATTGTGGGCTGCAGTTCCTGAAGTTCAGAAGTGAAGGGTACTAGCTTTCCTAAACTTTTTGTCTTTTAATTATGAAACATACACCAGAAAAGAACATAAAAATATAAAACACAAATAGGCAATTCAGTGGGCCCTTTGTGTAACCTCTACTAGGTTAATAAGTAACAGCAGTAGCCCCCAGAAGGCCCTATGTGCCCCTACCCAGCTGAAAAGTAACTTCTCTGCTCTTGCTTTTCTTTACAGATTGTACCACTTACATACATATCCCCATAAATAACCGTGGATTCCTTTCCTCTGCTCTGGCTTCCCCCCCTCAATATTAGCCTAGAGGATCTGTCTACACTGTTGCATGCAGCTACAGTTTGTTCTCTAGTTGCTGTGTAGAATCCCATCATGTGACTATACCACCAGGGACCTCACCTATTCTCTGGAGTGGATACTGGGGTTGCTTCCAGCCTGGGCTAACAGGAACCTGGGCTAGCATGCCCCTTGAGCCTGTGTGTATACTACTTTCTGAGGTGCATACACATCCGCATTTCTATTGTGCATGCAGCTAGGGCAGATGGCTGGCACTTTGAAGGACACTGCCTAACTATCTTCTAAATTAGACCTTGTGCCAATTTACACACACCCCACCCCCAGCAGCCCAGGAGGGTTTGCCGGAGGCTCACAAAGGTCCCCAGAGCAGGGCTACTTGCTGCAGAGCCACCACCTGGGCCTGGCAGGGGAGCTAAGCAGATAGAAGCAGAGTTATGTGTACCACAGGCCAGCCTGGACCCTCTGTATGTTTGTCCCCCAAACCCGCCCAAGCTGCACATTAACCTTGATGTCGCGGTACACCACATCCCGTGAGTGCAAATACTCAAGAGCTGAGACAATCTCTGCGCCATAAAACCGGGCCCGCTCTTCAGTGAAGACACGCTCCCGTGACAGGTGGAAGAACAGCTGCCAGAGGAAGGGGTGGGGAAAGGTAGTCAGATCCCTAGCCCAGAGAGAAGGGCAATGACATCTGCTCCATGGACTGGCAAGTGCCAGCAAGAGGGACCAAGTAAGGGACAGTGAGTAGAGAAGAGCAAGGGCCAACCAGTAGGTGCCAATGAGAGTGTAAAGGAAGGACACAAAAGGGTACCAGAGATAGTAAGCAGGTGACAGGATTGTGAACTCAGTATGAGGAGTGGTTGAACTTACCTGTTTGTTTGTTTGTTTTGAGACAGAGTCTCATTTTGTCACCCTGGGTAGAGTGCCGCAGCGTCATAGCTCACAGCAACCTCAAACTCTTGGGCTTAAGTGATTCTCTTGCCTCAGCCTCCCAAGTAGCTAGGACTACAGGCGCCCACCACAATGCCCAGCTATTTTTTAGAGATGGAGTCTCACTCTTGCTCAGGCTGGTCTTGAACTCCTACTCAAGCCTGAGCTCAAGCAATCCACTCGCTTTGGCCTCCCAAGTGCTGGGATTATAGGTGTGAGCCACATGCCTGGCCTGAACTTACCTGCTTCAGGAAGAAATGGGGGGAGGAGAGGGCTGGCGGATTTAACCCTCAGAGGCTTTCCCTGGAGCCTCTGAGAACATCCTTCTTCGTACTGTCAGCCAACCATTCTCATCGCCCTCTCCACATCCCTTTGGATCTGGATTTGGACTGCCTCACACACACCAGCAGTGTCAGCTGGGCATGCCACTTAAACTCTCTGAACTTCACTTTTCCCAAGATGACAGTCAATGAGCCTCCTTCCCACCCTTACCCCTGCAGTTCCTCTCCATCTTGCCCCACCTTCTGGTAGGACACACCCAAAAAGCAAGGCTGGGGGGGCCGCACTCACCTCACCACCATTGGCATACTCCATCACGAAGCACAGGCGGTCATGGGTCTGGAAGGCATACTTCAATGCCTGGGGGAAGAAGGTGGCCAGAGTGGAAGGTGGGAAGGAGGCAGGGGCACTGCTAACTTTTCAGGTACCCTCCCTTCCCTACCCTGCCCTGGGCTGTCGGGAGTCAGGCAGATGGGGAGTACATGAGTGAATTGGAGGGTCACAGGGCAAAAAAGGGTTACTGTGTGGGACCATCTTGTCTTCTGCCTTTATCAGGCACAGCCAGGGGGAAAGCATGTTCTGGGCAATCAGAGCTGTTTCACTTCTCTCTACCTCATGTTAATAGTAAAATGTGGTAAACTTACACACACACGTAGTGATGTATGCTGTGGCTGGGAGTGGCAAGGTCTTGGGAGCCAACTCCAAAGACAGGCTGGGCAAGCTGCCCACCAACAAAGGGTAATTATCAAACTATGTATTAAGGAACCCTACAGAGTTACTCAGTGACCCGTTGGGTGACCTCTCTGCTTACAACTCTACTATTCTCTGCCTTTCACACTGAGGTAAAAGTGTGTAAAAATCTCTTAAGATTTCATTTGGACAAGCGCTGTCCAAATGGATGGACACCTGGGCACCAACTGAGCTAAACAAATGGCATATACGGCAACTTCAGACTATTCCATTTAATTGATGACCACTGGCCCAGATGGAGACTATAGCTAGAGAATTATTACTCAGCAGAGCTGACAGGGAACACAGTACTAACGCCTCTGCTTCTAAGATTATAAATTAAAACAAATAATGTTCCCACTTGGACCACCAGAGTTAAGTGCTCCTGAAGACATCAGCCATGTTCTCTTGGGGCCACCCAGTAATGTGATAACATGACATTTGCAGTTTGCTTACATGAAACCACTATCTATAAAGAAACCCTCACCCGCAGTGTCAGGGGGTGGGGGTGGGGAGCACAACACCACCTTGCCCTGCCCACCTGGCCAACCCCAAGGCTGTGCTTTGCAGTAGCAGGTTCCAGCTGTTTCCCTGAGCCCAAAGGGAATGGCCTGAAGGCCTGCTGCTGCCCAAGAAGGGGAGTGTTACTCACAGTAAGGAACGGATGCCTAGTGTTCTGGAGGACCCGACTCTCAGTGACCGTGTGAGCAACTTCATCCTGCAGACAAAGCACATGTATGAGGGGCTGATGGGCAACCCCATGCCTGCACATACCACCCCCAAACTGAGGGGTGGGGAGCAAGGTCTTGGTGAAATGCAATCTTATTCGCAGCCATAAACACAGAAGGAATGACAAAAGTAGCTACAACATAATAGTCCCCAAGTCCTCACCAGATAACAAGACCCAGACAAGAATCATCAGTGGTGGCCAGGTGCAGTAGCACATGCCTATAATCCTAGCACTCTGGGAGGCCGAGGCGGGTGGACTGCTTCAGGAATTCAAGACGAGGCTAAGCAAGACCGAGACCCCGTCTCTAAAAAAAGCCAGGATTGTGGTAGGTGCCTGTACTCCTAGTTACTTGGGAGGCTGAGGCAAGAGGATCATGTTCGTCCAGAATTTTAAGGCTGCTGTGAGCGATGACGCCACAGCACTTTACCCAGGGTGAGAGAGTGAGACTCTGTCTTAAAATAAAAAATATGGCTCACTCATGCTCTCTCTCTCTCTCAAAACCATAATGTAAAAAGTCAGTGGGACTTTACAATGGAATGGAGTCAGGCTGCCTCCACCTGAACCCACAGGCCAACTATAACATCTCTAAAGGAGGGACTAGCACACATTATGAGACCCCTGAGGTGCCACCATAGAATGGTGGAAATACCACCTTGTCTAGTATTCTTGCCTAAAGAAGAACTGGACCTAAGCAAGGCCCTAGGCTAGAGAGCAGTGGTTCCTGGGGTGTGGCCCCACACTGGCAGCAGCAGTTCTGCCTGGGCACTTGTACAAATGCAAATTCTTGGGCCCTACCCGAGAACCACTGAGTCAGAAACTCAGCCCAGCACTGTCTCACAAGCCCTCTGGATGACTCTAATGCAGATTTGAGTTTGATATCTGACTGAACAGCAAAACCACTGGGACAGCAAAAAATCCTGAAGCACCTGCAGCAGCTTTGGACACTGGTTCTCCTGGGGCAAATTTATCCCCAAGGACATTTAAGAATATATAAAGTCATTTTTGATCGTCATAATTGGGGAAGTTGCTGCTAGATTTAGTGAATAGAAGCCAAGGATGCTCCTAAAATCTTACCATGCACAGCCCCCACAGCAAAGATTGATCTGGCCCAGAATGTCAATACTGCTGAGGCTGAGAATCACTGCCTCGGCTCAGTTACTTCAGGAATTAACAGTAATTTTGTCAGATAGGACCATAGCACCATAGGATTAAATTCTTTAAAATCTTCATCTATTCAAATACATATTTAAGTATGTATGAGTGAAATGATATGATGCCTAGAAAGTGCCTTGAAATACTATAAAACAGGCCAGGTGTGGTAGCTCAGGCCTGTAATCCCAGCACTTTGGGAGACTGAGGTGGGAGGATCACTTGCGGCCAGGAGTTTGAGATCAGGCTGGGTAAACACAGTGAGATCCTGCCTCTATAAAAAAATTTAAAAATTAGGGTGGCGCCTGTGGCTCAAAGGAGTAGGGCACCGGCCCCATATACTGGAGGTGGCAAGTTCAAACCCAGTCCCGGCCAAAAACTGCAAAAAAAAAAAAGAAAGAAAAAACATTTTTTTTTAATTAGCTGGGTGTGGTACATGCTTATAGTTCCGACTATTTAGAAGCAGAGGCAGGAGGATGACTTGAGCCCAGGAGTTGGAGGTTGCTATGAGCTATGATAACATCACTGCACTCTAGCCTGGGTGACAGACTGAAAGACTATCTTTTTTTGGGGGGAAGAGGTACAGTCTCACTTTGTTGCCCTTGGTAGAGTGATGTGGAATCATAGCTCACAGCAACCTCAAACTTTTGTGCTCAAATGATCCTCTTGCCTTAACTTTTCATTTTTAGTAGAGATGGGGTCTCACTCTTGCTCAGGCTGGTCTCGAACTTATGAGTTCAAGCAATCCACCTGCCTTAGCCTCCCAGAGTGTTAAGATTACAGGCATGAGCCACTGCGCCCATCAACACTACACCCTTTTAAAAAATTTTTTTTTATTTTTATTTTTTGTAGGCACAGAATCTCACTTTGTCACTCTCAGTAGAGTGCCATGGCGTCACAGCTCACAGCAATCCAACTCCTGGGCTTAGGCAATTATCTTGCCTAAGCCTCCTGAGTACTTGGGACTATAGACACCGCCACAATGCCCAGCTATTTCTTTGTTGCAGTTTGGCTGGGGCCAGGTTTGAACCCGCTACCCTCAGTATATGGGGCCGGTGCCCTACCCACTGAGCCACAGGTGCCGCCTGACACTATACCCTTTTAAAAAAAATTTTTTTAGACTCCAGAACAAAAAAGGGAGATGATGGCATAGCATAATGAAACAAGATTGGCTAAATGCTGACAACTGTTAAAACTAGATAATGGGTACATAGGATCTCATTATATATATTTTTCTTTTTAAAATTTTGTATATGTGGAATCTTCCATTATAAAAACTAAAGACAAAAAATAGAATTACATTCCCAGCCTGGCTTTCCCACAGGGACCTCTCCTTTTACACCCTTGACAGAGCCTATTGGGTGAAGTCCTGAGGCAGACTCTCTCTGCAGGCACCCATGGACTCCACAGAGGGTGGGGTAGGGGACTCAACAGGCACCCCACTCCTCTCTGGGCCTCAGGCTCCCTTCTGCCCGGGGAATTACAGGACTGAGTCAAAGGGGAATGGGCTTTGAAAATAAGACCACAGCAGCAAAAGGCCTGGAGAAGCGTCCTGGCCCTCCATGAGCACCCAAGCACGCTCAGGCCCCAGACAACAGCCCCAAAGATGCCAATGAACAGCATCCTCAGAGCGCCCACCTTGGCAATGATAACCTCCTTCCGCAGGATCTTCATAGCGTAGTAGCGGCCAGTCGCTTTCTCTCGCACCAGGATGACTTTGCCAAAGGTCCCCTTGCCAAGGAGTTTAAGATAGTCGAAGTCATTCATGGTCTGTGGGGGCAGGGAAAGAGTGGGGGCTGTCAGTGCCTGGCACCTAGCCCACAGGAAGAACTTTTAACAAAGAAAGAGGAAAACCAAAAGACACTGTTGCCAAATGGCTTAGGCCAGAGCAGAGAGGGAGGCTTGGGCAGCAACTGCTTGTTCTGAAGTGGCCTTCAGATCAAGGCTGTCCCACTTCAAGGCTTTCCCAAGTACAGGCCTTGGGTAGATTGAGCCCAGAGTTCTGACATAGGGGTCACTGGGTCTTCATTATCTCCCAGAACTTGCAGACTAGCAGCCCCCTCTCCTCGCTCCCAGTACCTACCACTTTGGCCCGTGCTTTGCTGACCGCCACTTCCATCTCCTCAGCTGTGGAAGAGTCACTGGGGGAGCCACACTTGTAGTCCATGGGGTCCTTACCCGGGCCCCGCTGCTTGAGGCTGTTGGCGACCATCTGGATGGCCTGCATCCATTCCTCCCTGTGAGCCGTGGGAGGAAACATGTGAGCCATGATTCCTAGGGAGTCATAAGTTCTGGGCCTCAGGGCTAGAAGAACTCTCCAGTAAGTGGCAAAATCTGTCTGAGTCAAGGAAAGTTGACAGGACCCAAGTAAAATTCCACAGGCCACTGGCTGTGACGGGTGGGAGAGGGCAGTGACGTCCCAGCAGTGGCCTGGCCTGAGGGCCACCCAAAGCCTGGGAGCAGTAAAATGATCAAAATGAGTCACCATCCTGAGCCTCTAGTGAAAGAGAGAGTACTCCTCTGAAGTCCTCCAGAACTAATGACAAGCTCAAGTTTACAAGTCACTAGTGTCTTGGAAAGGAAAACCAAGAGTAAAAGAAAGTATTCATTAGCCAAGGCAGCTGAAGATTTTATAAGTCTAAACGACATGACTTCCTGGAATGGATAGTCTGCCAAGAACATGGGAGGCCATGGCAGGGACAGAGGTCCTGGCAGGTGAGAGATGTAGAAGAGAGAAGGTGGTGGATAGGAAGCGCATTCTAGCAAATGGGAGCTCGGTTTAAGAATAAACTAGTTCTGGCTGGGCGCCTATAGCTCAACCGGCTAAGGCGCCAGCCACGTACACCTAAGGTGGCAGG